GGTAAAGTAGATTTTGGTTTATAATACTGTCGTTACGTCAACACCACCGGCAAAGAATACGTGACACGACAAAATGGCTACGACCATAATAGTATAACAATATAATAGCTTTTACTTTTCTATACTTAGTACTTAAACAACGACAGTGATGTTTTTATAATATTATCTTACATAGAATGTGTGTGTGCGCATACAGTAAGTGTCATAAATCCTGTAACGCGCTCGGTGATCTGTCAGCAGAATAAAAATTATAATATTCTAAAATATTATATTTTTCACTTTGGTTTTTGTCGTGGATCCAATCATGTGTGACTTCTGACTATGACTCAAACCATACTTGGATGATTTTTTATACAAATAACATTTACACATAGTAATTCAAAAATATTTCTATTCTTTTAACCTTCGTAGAAGTTTGGTACAAAGTACAAGTATAACATTTATTAGATCTTTTAAAAATTAATTTATGTATAATACTTAGGGAAATATTGGCTGTTTTTTACATTTTGATTTCCAGCTATGTAAACATATTTTGAAAATATAGAAAAAATTATCAGCATTTTTGAAAACTAAACTAAAACACTAAAAATCTGTTCTTCGTAATTTTTATGTATTAACTTAACATAGTCACCTTGATTTGCCTTGGAGAAATCGCTATTAGTAAACTATCGTGAGCAACCTATACACATTATATTGTACACAAGTAGGCTTTCTTGTAGTAGTTGAGGTTTTTTTTTCACGTTACATAAATTGTTATCCTTACTCGCACATTCATTTTACAGTTGTATAACTAAAAGGCATCGCTGCGAAAATACAGTGAACGTATTGAAAAAACATATTCTTAAAAATAACATTTTTTTCCATCGTACATTTTTGTAATAACTGAAGTTTAATGTTACCTGCCGTTTCCCCGTATTAGCGACGGCTATCGTCCTTTTATAGAATAGTGATTTAATTTTAGTATTATTATATTGATGTCACTTTTTTTTCGTACCTATATTGTTGTGACGTCGAGTCATATTTTCTTTAGTGGAAATCGTGAAAACCGGACAATGTTGTAGAGATTAGTTACGGACGATGACACTTGTAATAATTATTGCAGGAAGGTTATAACGGTTATTATTCTTATTCGTTTTTGTCAGTATAATAGTACATTTGTTTGACAAATGTCAAATTAAAAAAATAAAATAAAAATACCGCGGTTAATTGTTAATTTTTATACATTTCTTCGAGCAAGCGGTTTCAGTCATTTCTCTTGAAGTTGACGACGGGTAAATGTTGTAAAAAATATATACAATTATTTAATAATTTTCTTCATCATTAATTGCTTGTTGGTATACATATTTTGTCGGTGAGCAGTATCCAATATGATCTCACTTGGTAAGTTTGTATGATGAATTTAATTAAAAGGCAGGACGAAAACGAAAGTTGCCATTAACGTAATGCCGATTCACGCGTATGAGAATCTCGACAAGTTAAACTAGTTAAAAACCTACAATAATTGGCTTTACAATATTATAATATTTAATTCTTAGTCGATGATTATTTATATTATGTAGGTACAGAGATATGCATCGCGACTTTCTTGAGTTTCTCACTAGCCGGTACGCGCGACGACCGATTGGAGTACACTTGAGTATACTTTCTTGTCTGCAATTTCTCAGGACGCGGCCACCTTAATAACATTATGTTTTTTTTCTCCAAAGAAATCGCTCTTATGAGAATATTTTATACGGTTTTTCTTATCGGCAACTATCGGTGACTCGACCTACAACAATAAGCTGTACATAAAAATACTCGTGCATGCAGCGCACGGTCTGCAATTTTCAAGCTCACTCGTTTTGTATTATTTGTCTAAACCTAGGTACCTATTCGGTTGTATTTTGTTTTCACGGCAAAGCCGCGCGTTCTGGAAGTCATTTATTTTTCTGTCCGCGTTTGATTAATGGTGAACGCGACAGCACGTCTTTCGGTCAGTCCTACGACGTTTGCACTTGGCTTTGTGTGTGCATGTATATGTATAATATTTGTGTTGTATTGTGTATATACTATATGGCTTTGCCGCGGCTTACAATATAATATAGTACGGTCGTAGCAAAACGTACATTATAGTAAAGCATAATATTATACAGATAGTGGACCGCAGCCAGAAGCTTTTTGTTCGACTACTATTCATATTATACATATATATATATAGTGTAGGGTCACGCGCACACGTCCACTTCAGTCTTTTTTATAATACTTATGACCGTTCTTTTTTTTTTTTTTAAGCATTAGGTGTATTATTCCGTCGTGTCGTCTGTGAACGACCGACACGATTATTATACTTTTTTCCAACCCGTAACAATACAATAGTGCATGATATTATTGTATACTAAATATAAAATAACTCACACACACGAGGGTATGATTTTCTCGCAGAACTCCGTCACACGTGCTGGTGTTAATATGTATTTACAAAGAGGCAGACTATATGTATGCACTTTACTTACCACGGGTATTTATGTAGCCATTGCTATATCGTTATGAGGAAACGAAATTTCACGGGCAATTATCGGTCGGACAGCTTTTTTTTATTTTTTTAAATTTTATTTCTGTCTGTATGTATCCGTCTCTTGTGCACTGATGTCCGATCCCGTTAACACAACACACTGTGGCGTGTACCGCAGGACGAGACGTGCGTCGAATTTACCTTTATCCGCATTGGACGTCGTGTATAGTATGCTCTGTGCCCGACACACTGTAACGACCGGCCGGAACTGTATATATTTGTGTGTGTAATTGGCCGCGGACCGTTTCAGTGAAAAATCAGCATGGGAAACGGTCGAAGTTCTCTAGAAAAAAACAATCGAAATGTGCTTATACTTATCTTTTCATACGTATGTTTACTATTTATAAGATCCAACCGTCGCCGCCGGTGTTTCACTGTTGCATTACACACGTACACGTTAAACGATCGTTTAAATAATAATATGCTAATACTTACTAACTTTATCTATACAGGTACACAATAATATGTTTTATAATTGAATGTATACTTTTTGGCGTGCGCAATTCGACGCGAAAAAATGAATGGCCATACACTCTTCAACTCTACTGTATAACGAGTTGACCGTTATATTTGTTTAATACATAATATGTAGAAAAAAGAGTTCGAATTTTAGTGTATAGTGTTTTTGTTGAGCGATTAAGCATTGCCGTACTGATCCTATCCCTCGCGTTGAACAGTGAAGGTACAATCTCTTATAACTTTAAATCACCATAAATCAAATTGGTTGACTTTAGATATTATAAGTTTTAGGCCCGGTATCTGTAATCTGTCAGCACAGTATCAATGCGCCATAAAGCCGGATGGAATTGGGTTAAGACTTTGCGAGAGATAAGAGCTCCATTTAAATTAGATTTTGTCCCAATTTCGCTCTATATTATAACTAACAATTTAAAAACTTACAATTTAATTTAAACCAACATAGGAAGTGAAAGTTGTAGTAGAAAACTAACTGTATTTTGCTTTTTTTTTTAAACGATTATAGAGACTCTTAGAACCTTGAGGTACAAACGGTGTAAACGCTCTTCCTGACATAGGTCTCTACTTGTATTTTTACGCTAGATATAAATGGATAAACGTGCCTATGTTCAGTGCCCGTTATGTGCGTGTTTTGGCCGAATAAAATAAACATGAAACCTATTGTACTTACATGACGTATACTTGTTAACGTTTAATCGGAGACATCTCCAAGCGGCGGCGACCTTGAAAATTCGCGAGCGGGCTTTTAAGATCCGACAGTGCTATAAACGATATAATACCTACAAATAACGATAAATCGTTCGAAGTAAAAGTATAAGTAAATACAATAGCTTACGCCGCGCTATGCCATACGGGCGACTTCAAAATTCGCCATTATGTGTATTGTAGTAATCAAAATCTACGCACGTTGGTGAACTTTGAAATTTATGTAATAACATGAACGATAAAACGGTACCGATTGTACATAAATAATGCGGATGATTAATTTATTAGCAAATACTACAGTACCTATGTAATTAAATCATGCGATACATGCACTCGATACATCGGGTTGGCAGTTTTACGCTTAGTCATGGGTCAAGTCTTTATGTGTCTGGAGGCAATATTTTGAACGACTCTGTCAATCATCGACGCAGTAGTAAGTGAGTGTATCAAATCACTGTCAGAATACTACAGCACACATTAAAATGTTAAAAATCATTTATCGATTTTCGGATCGTACAATTAATTATTTTTATTGTAAGTATGGCGTATAGGTCAAGTCATCGATACACACGTACCTACCTAATAGACATCATATGTCTAAGGTCATGGTTATAATTCGATTGTTGAGGCTATAGATGACACGTTAAAATTGTAATGAACCGTATGTATTAAAAGGTTAACACACTCTGTTGACTGTATGGGGTTTATCTGGGAACTTACAGCTAAGCGATAATAATATTATGTATGACGGCTGTAGCTTTAGTGTTGGTTTTTAAAGTTTTTTTACCAACAGCCGTGATCTGTTATACAATTAAAAAAAAAAAAACCTTTTAGTTTTCACTATTTAATAATATAAGATGAATAGAGTGTAGAGTTAATTAACATCAATGCGGTACACACAACCGTGTGACACTTGGTATATTATATACTATGCGCAGATAACTTTCGTTGTTTGTTTTTCCTCCTTTATACTTACCCGCCTAAACCGCATACTGTTATTGCCCGTCTTATTTGTATGTATATACCTATAATATTATTATTATCACGAGAATACCGTTTTCTGAACTCTTTCCAGCGATGAAATCACCGCACACAATAGGTACCATATCATGTTCCGCATGTTCTCGACGACATCGCCGTGTCATTATTAATTTATATAGGTACCTGTATATAACCTATGTACTATGTGTGTACCTACTTACTTACAGCCGTTATAATGTACGATAAATTAATTAATGTTTTTTTTTGTTTTTTTTCCTCCAAACAGATGCTGATGGCTCTCGAACATTTCTTACCGTCCAAATTCACGCTCTCCGTCGAATACGAACCGGTGGTCAAAAACTTCCCCATGTTGGCCGCTTTAGCCGAGGCTTGTCTTTGGCCGGTCGTTTTGCTGTTGTTCGACGATCAATTTGTGCCCAGACTGTCGAACCTGTACCGCAGGAGGAGCGCGTCGGACATGGCTAAACCGCCCCAAGGTAAACATTTTCTCGGAACCGCTATATTATAATAATATTATATATGTACATAAATTTTATATATATTATAAAATTACGCTTAACTGCAGTTTTCAAACTAATTCGCCGAATACCGACATTAATCTACGGTCGTAAATCAAGTGTGTTTGGCTCATAAGCAAAATGCAGCGGATAATATTTTGGTAAAACATTTAGTTTGAACAACGAGTAGATAGAGTATTCTTAACTCTAACGATCACGCCACTTATAGGGGTGGACTGGACTTCTGTTCTACTGTCTTGTGCTGAATTTACCCTAGTTACTGTTACAGCGCTAAGCCGAATATCATTAAAAATCATTTTATTTGAATACAGTTTCAAATTCCGACTCGGCGAGAGGCGAGGTTTGTTAACTCCTAGGACAGTGCAGTGTTTTTATGTTACCCAGACCTTGGGGTGGCCACGCGCAGAACTGTGCCTTTCCCCAGGGTATTTTTTCGCCGCACGTAGTGACAATACAGAGACATAGCTCATAATTATTGTTTTCTAATCGAACGTAGCTTGTAAAACTTTCGAACGATGCGATTATAGAGTACCTAACTGGTACCGGTCAATCAGCTAGGTTGAGTTAATTTTCATCGAGCGCGTGTAATGTGAAATCCATGTCCCCCGGCGTAACTCGCATACATACCGGGGAATGCGTTTAATGGCATATAATAATCATACAATAACGTGATCATATATTTTTTTTTTACCATATTATTATTATTTTACAGGTTTACACGGCAAGTTCCGGCCTTACAACGGTTCCCTACAAGAAGCCCGGAGGCCTCCGTCGTCCAACTGCAGCGGCGGCGGCGGCACGGCCGGCAACGGCGAGTCGACGGCCGCGGCACACCGGTTTCCCATCACCAACGGATCGCTGTTCGCCAGCCTGGACGGACGAGTTCCGGTTTTACACAACTACAGGCGAGGTGCGCACATCCGTATACATTTTTAAAGTCACATTTCGCGTTTTATAATCTCTTGTATGTACATTATTTATAGACTTTCCTCTCCGGCCGAATTCACCGTTATGATGTCATTCGAAAATTCTATAAAAACGTCGTTACACGCGCGCACATTATTAAAAATAAATAACCAAATGAATCCTCTCACAGAGACGGACAATATATTATGCGGATTCAACGTACCGCGTGCAATTGCCTATTTTCATAATATGTAACCTAACCTAACCTTTAGCCGCGTGTCGCAGATTTCCTAATTGAACCAAACCTGTTTTTTTTTTCGTGCTACCGAAAGAGCAACTGAGAGTACCTTGTGTCTTTTTTTTCTTTCTTTCTTCTCTTTTGCATGTCTGGTATGTGCCGTATGGTCAACACACACACAGACTACGTGCGAATACAAACACACTGGTATAGGAATTGAGTTTGAGTAACAGTACATCGAATGTGTCGCACCGGCGATAAACTATAATACAATATTATTATGTAAAAGAATGTAAGGCACACGGCCTCGTCACGATATAGTCATCACGGCGTGGTGGCATCAATCGCACGTTTTGGGTCAACCGCGGACTGACGACGACGACACGGCAAAAATTCCCAGTCACCGTGATGGTGTTTGTGCCTTTGTATAAACATACATTCTATCATATTATTATTATTGTTATACCTATCAGTCTTGTGCGGGCTGTGTTGTGTGCTGGAAATAGGTATAGATCACATAAACACGATATCCACGCGAAACGTGTCGACCGGTAGCACATAGCAAACGCTTGAAGTCCACCGCTAAGAATCAGGATTAATTGTAGTCAGTAATATCGATAGCACATTAGTGCACAAATGTCATTAGTGAATATTAAAAAAAAAAAAATTTTACTGAGACGGCGTTCGACTTGACATTGCCTTACCAGCACAAAGTTGTATCTTTGGCCACCAGCCTATTTTGTATACAAGATGTATTGAAGATTATTTTTACTTGACACAGCTGTGCACAACACCATCGACATCTACTTCCTTGGCTATTTCGAGTTCGACCACCCTGGTGCTCTTTAGTCCTACAACCACAATGGTCTTCTATATAATGCCCACACACTCCAGCCGTTTTCCGTAAATGATTTTCTATTAGTTTTGTTGTATGTTTACAGCCCGAATTCTGACCGAGTTGGTCCAACTATTTATTTAGTTATTCCAACTAGAAAATGTATTGTGTCTTATATTAACCATAATTATGGTTATCCCAACTATATAGTTTTTTCCGTGGATCCATACAATACAGTGGTTTTACAGTTGCCCTACTGAACTTGGCCATGCGCTCTGTTTTATTTGAATCAATTTCTTATAGCCCTCTTTATTTTAGCGCTTTTTTCTTCTACCACCATTATTCAAGATACATAAATCTCTCACTCTGTATATTTATGGTAATTATTATCAAAATTCATTGCCAAGGAAAGCGCAAAGAACAAAGTCGAGCCTTGGGACAAATTTAGCAAGGTTTATTTTGGTTTCATCAAAATAGTGTTCCTTCATACCATACTTTAGTACAGTCGATCTTTCATAATTGTATATATTGGATTTCTTAGCAGTGGAATGTTGAGATTCTTCATTTTCAGTTTTAACTTCTGAAGGAAATCTAGCTCTGTATTAGAGATTTCGCCATCGGTTTAATATACGATGTAAAACATTTTCCAAGGTCACTGTTTGAGGTGTAAATAACATCTCTATTTTTGTTCATTTAATTTTTAGGCTTTTAGGTTTTTAACGACTTCATTTATTGAACGGTATTTTTTTTTTTTTATATTCTATGAGAATGTAAAACAAACTATTTACTTGTATGCAAGTACATAATTTTCGCTATTAAATATCCACAAGAAGTACGAGAACAAAAGATGTCCTTATGAGTTTGTGTCGGTTACATAAAAAAAAAACAATAATAATAATAATATAATAGAAAAAAAACGCAATGAACAAACCTGAATACCGTAATTTGGCTATTGAGTACATAATATTGACTACCGAACGGAAACTACTAGTAATGTAGTTTTGTATTATACGCACAGCACAGTTACGGGAACGCACGGTTTTTTTTAACGCAGCGTTAATGGTTTTTTTTTTATGTTAGAATGGATAAAAAAACATACTTGCAAACATGAACGTTAGGCTATCGATTTGTTTAAAGTATACTTGTGTAATAATGATTTTTTTTTTTGGTGTTTCCCAACAGGAGCTAGAGCTATGAGCGGTCTATTGGTATCGTCTTCGCCGTCAAACGGCCAAATGCCTTGTTCGCCTCCACATTTCATTCACACACAAAATTCGACACAGCCACCTCCTTTGTGTTGTCCGGCCGGCGAAGACGAACACTTCCACCACCGTCACCACAACCACCTGAGGTTCGCTAACATGGTAGTGGCCTCGGCGGCGGCCATCGATTCGATGGAGTGCAAAGAAGACGGAGCCACACCGGCGGACAGCCTGGACGAGGTTCAGCAGCGGTTGCCCCAAAATCTGCAGCAGCTCCGGGAAAAGTTGTACGCCGACGAGGACGAGGACGAAGACGCCTCGATCCGGGCGGTCGAACAGGACGTCGAGGACGCCGGAGCCGTACCCGCGGGCCTGGACTCTTCGGACGATGGTGAAGACGGCAATCGGGACGACGTCGACGACGAGGACGAATGCGAGTACGCTACTATGTCGGCGCGCAGCGTGTGCTCGGCCACGACAGCGGCCAACGACGATTTCGAATATTTCGCAGCAGCGGCCGGCGACCGGTCGTCGTCAAAAGCCGGCAATCGCGCGGCTTACCAACGGGCGCCCACCAGACGCGGCAGACATCATCATCACCAGCAGCAACAGCAGCAGCCGCAGCCGCCGCCGCCGCCGTCGCATCACAGGCCCCAGAAACCGACGCCTTTGCCGCCCACCCCTCCGACGCCTCGCCGGCCCAGACCGCGGCTGACCGCTATGCTGTCCGTCGACTCGCTGGTGACGGCCGCTGCGGCCGCCGACAATGTCGCACATCAGTCTGCGGTCGCCGCCGCTTACCGACATCGCCATAATCAACAGCAACATCAACGACACAGGGGCGCCAGGAGGATGCGCGGCCACCACGGTGGTAGCGTGCCAGACTTGAAACGCGTCTTCGTCACAGACTTTCTTTGACCGAATGGGGTAGGGAAAGGAGAACGGAATCTTAGGACAGACACGGCTTAAGGGGAGAGCCGAGTTCTATTAAAAAAAATAATTTACATATTTTTCCCCATTTGTAAATCGAGCGTTTGAAAAAACACAAATTCACCTCTCCACCCAACCACTTCTTGAAAACCAGCATATAAGACGTCACAGTTAACAGATCATTATACAGATTGCCTTTACTCTGGGACATGGTTCTGTTTATTATTATTACCATTGATCATGTGTGAGTATTATAAAGTACACTCGATCGACGGTAATAATATTGTGTACGTATAGTTTTTACACGGTTTTCGGGAAAACACTTTTTTCGTTTTTCGACAGAATCAGAAACTGCTGTTTTGTTTTTTTCTTATAGGGGTTTTTTTCTTGACGCTGAAGTGTTTGTCTGGGTAGGTGTGCGTTTGTTCGGTCATATTCATTTCCGTCGTCCGATTAGTTCTGGGCTAAAACAACTACACAACTGTATGTGTTCTATAAGCGGTATTCATTTTTGTCACACCACAACAGTTATAATATTATGTAAATTGCTATTATAAGAAACAAAAACTGTTTGCGTTGTAAAACGTAACGCCGTTAATATTATTCTTTGGTTTCTTCCGAGAAGATATGATTATTATTATTATTATTATTATTATATTGTAATACTGAATAGTATAGTAGATATAGTATCAATATTTATTGAACCGCATTGCTATTGCTTTATTTTCTATTGTCAGTCTTGGACTCGTTGTAGCCAATCGTAACCGTTTTCCCGGGCGTTTGCAAAATTTGATTATTATTATTATTTTTTTTTTTTTCAATTAGATATTATCGCTTTAGTTTTTGTATATTTATAATAACATAATTTTGAGTTCAGAACATATTTTTAATTAACAACACGCGGTGCCAATTTATCTTTAGCATAGAGTACACGAACATATTGTACGTTTATAATTATTATTAATATTATTTTATTATTATTATTTTGTAAATAACGTTTGTTTTTGTTTGTTTTATTATTACACTAATTGTGTGTATTGTTTTTAAGTTACTGTAACGCGTATAATTATTTATAAATTATTATGTTTAAATTATATTATAATACAAACAAAATAACTATATTATTATTATTGTGTATCGTTGTCCACATTATAAAACGTATTAACCAGTTATTACTTATTAGTATGTTTTTTTGACATTAATAATAAGAATCATCATTACTCGTGTTTAATAAAAAATATCATATTTTAAAAGGTAATTATATTTGATCAATACTATCAGATGAACCAGATAGACACTCAATCACGACTTGTTTTTTAAGTCTACGATTTGTAATCCAGATGAGTATTAAATAATAATAATTGTTAGTTTCGCAGAAATAATTATAAAATCCAATCTAGTTCGCTTTAAAAACTATACTTGAACAATTTCTACAAACTAAACTACTCATGTGTTTCTCTGGTTAATAACAGACTCGGGTTGGCTTACGGGTTATATATGGACTGAAATTGTTGGTAATGATCACAAATATTATGTTATTAATATGTATTACAAATTATGTTTACTTTCATCACGATCTACGGACCACACCGACTGCTCATGTTAAACGCACAGCAAAATACAATTATTTTTCGATAACTTATGGAGTAATTTAAGTTTGAGTAATTGCCGTTAATGTAGTCGGAGGCGAATCCTTTGGTTTTTTGTTTTACAATTTATTATTTATGAGTAGGTTCTTATAGATTACATAAATTCCTGCAATCCGCATTTATGTATTTAAGGTGTTGTACAAGACGTGATGATGGTATTTTGTTGTTGGGCGGAATTTGATTTTCCATAATGTACAATGGGCGGGCGAGGCTATTAAAACAACGATGTTAGTATAGTTACACACACACTGTGTCTTTGTAGGTATAATAAAACAATCAAAAACACCCACCCTACGGTAATTATCACCTCGGAAACCGCATTCAAAGTCACTCTCTGGTTCGTACCAATCGCATAAGTCGTGCATAGCATGAAATCATTCACAGAAACTTTCAAATGTAATTTATTATTTGTTCAATGTTAAGTTTATTCAATTCTAATATTTCAATGGGAGTTTTATAAGTATTATATGTGTATTTTTGTTAAATAGCCGGATAGCCCGTATATTGTTGTTCAAAGAAAAACAATCGCTTATACTAATTAAGGTATGTAAAGTAAAATAAAAATAAAAACCAAAATGATCATAAAAAGTAACAAAGTACTATTAACCGGTTAGGTGGCTTTTCAGATGTAAATGTAACGGTTTTTATTATTGATGCAAAATGTTGACAAAAACCACCTATTTACGGATCATAGTTTGAAATACGGCTGTACGTTATGAAAGTGAGATAATAGAGAAAATACAAGAAGAAAAGACTTCTGTGAAAGGGTATGCCCAATGTTATATTCTACATGTTGGATCAATTAGATCAACGCATAGGAAATATTTTAACATTAGATAACATGTTTTTAATGAGCTAAATGCAATTTGATACGTTAAAAAAAAAAGCGATTAATGGAATTCTTAGAGGTACATACCGAACTAGACACTGATTATAAAAGTCAGCCTTATAATAAGCTATTTGAGGTAACACCATAATCAGTTTTTTCACGAGAAACATTTTAATTAAATCATATCCAGAGTATTATAGGTAACTCAGAATTTCTTAAAGACCCAAGGTAGGTCGACACGAAAAGTAAATTTAAAGGTTAATTTAGATATTTATTCTCATAATTTACGACTCAACTTAATCAACGCGGGTACAAGAGTAATAGAGTATAATCTTTTTTTTTTTTAAATAAAACATATTCCCTTAAATAAAAAAACTATTGACAATTGTTAACGGTCACGATAATACTTTTGGCGTTGCCAGTGAGTTGAACGAACCGCGTTCGAACGACACATTGAAAATGCGTTTGAAAATAATTTCAAATGTCGTGAGCTGGTAGTTTTATGTTTTGCCCTTTGTTTTTTAACGCTTCTACCCGTGTGTTAGTTCATTCGCCGTGGGTACGTTGGTAATATTGTTGTCTTCTTGTGTATTTAATTTAAATAATGCACGTAGCATACGACAGAGCACGCGCGCCGTCCATATATCATTGTATCGTTGGCGCTTTATATTACAAACATAATATATACATATATATATATATATATATATAATATATTTTAATATGTCGACACGACGACGGGAAGAGTCAAGAGTTCAAACTGCAATGTTATATCCATCCTGTAGGCGGTGATGTATTGAAAAGAAAAAGAAAAATGCAATATTAAAAATACAGAAACCCGGATCGAGCCTGCGTTCTTCTTTCAATATAATAGTTGCACAAGTTTCATATTGTGTACTTTTAATATAAGCTGCGCACATGTGTGCAGTTGAACCCCAAACTACACTAACCGACCGATGTATTAAAACGTCTATAGTTTGTGTACCTATAAGGCGGTACGACCACTTGCAATCAAGAGAGTATTAGAATATTTACTCACAAAATCGATACAAGGTCTTATACAGTATTATGGCCGACATAGATTTTGCACGATTCAAGGCTCCATTTGTTTTTGTTTTTTTTAATAATATCCAGTAAGCTAATAAATCCAATTCTTTAGCGCAATAACATTATGTTTGTTTAACCTTTATCATTATTATTATTACTTTTTTTAATTCAAATATTAATAATGATAAAAAATTATGCATTACGTTGTCGTTCCGTATTGTAGCATAAATGCAAACATAATATTTTATAATCTATGTGAACTACTTTCGACCACATAGTGCGACAATTAATTACTATATAGCTGTATATTGACATACTATCTGTCTACTCACTGGTTTCAGTCGAGGTCGGACCGGTCGTTTTTTAAGGCCCGGTGTCTGGGTAATATAGGACCGCTAAAAATAATAGCCCTGTCTCGTTTAGGCACCCTGGTCCAGTAAGAGTTTCAAGTTGAATTTGTTGTAACAACATATTATCATTATACTTTGTGTAAGAGTAGTGAAAGTTATGTGAGATATGATCCCGAGAGATGCTCGTTTCTGGAAAACATCAAGTATAAGTATAAAAAAAATATGCAAATATAATGGGCCTTCTTGTCTCATAACGAAATTTCTCTAATAACTTTATCAAAAAAAAAAAAAAAAACGCCTATGTGTATCGTCTTACCGTTATTCTTAAACTCTGTGTAGACATTGTTTCGAGGTAAAACCGTTTAGTGAGTTTGTTAGATATAATCTACAGCGGTTAAGAGCCGCGTCTCTTCGGGGCCAAGGCGATTACTGGTTTGGGAGTATCTGATAAAATGATTAAAGCAATATTGCTTCTAAGAAAACCGATTAAATGCAAATTTGTGGATAAGGTAGTGTTCGCGACATTAATAATAAAAAAAACCGTCACTATGTTGCTTATTATGCAAGTATTTTTAGCGTAAAACAAGTTTTCGAAAAAAAATATTCGTCTAACATTTTTTGTACTATATTCATATAAAAAGTAACGAGTATGCTAAAGCCTAATTATTGGCCTCTTGATCAATTGTAATTTTTATATGTGTGTGTGTGTATTATGAGTTTAAAATATGTTCAAAAATTATTTTAAAATTGTACCGGTCGTCAACATTATTTTTTTGGACTTGATTACCCGTTGCTCGTATGGCATGCCTATAGTAGTTTCTAAAGTAGATTATAACCGCATGAGACCCTGATACTCGTATCTATGAAGAGATCACAACGCAACGTTCCACAACGTTTCTGTGATATTATTTCTGCAATGTTTCTACAATGTTTCTTTTATACGCTATTTACCAGGGCTCTATGGGAATATGCATTTTTTTCCCGTTAATATACATACTGTACACATAATAATATTATTATTGTCAAGATTGTAAGATTTTCGTCAAGAGTGTCTTTACGGTTAAAAATCCAATCTTATATCAACGGTATAAGTTAAAAAGAAACACGATTATAAAATATAAATATACTATATTTATATTTTATAATCGTTTATATATATATATATATATATATATTATAACTAGAAGCAACGTTGTCGAAACGTTACATTGTGATATTTTCTTAGATATACTAGGGCCTCATGTGAATTGGATGTGATTTTTTATAAGGGCAATGGTAAATCGCGCCAACATGTTCCATAAGTGTATTAATTATAATATGACGACAGTTGCTGTGTATACAACTGCACTGGAAGTCTAGTAATACTTTCTGAATATCTTTTAGTGTACCATTTTATAATAATAATTACGATATTTATAATAAATGATATTATTGATAGCATGATGTTATTATTAAAATTAAAATAGCGATTAATATTGGAAAAATATTGTCAAAAAAAAAAAAAAATCAATTAGAATGTGTGTATTGGGCCAATGATCTAATATTTTTAATAGGTTAAAACCTATTTTAATTATTTTTAGTTATTATGAAAAAACAAATTAGCATATCATAGTTTAATCATAGTCTTAAAAATTATACAAAAACGATAATACAAAATGAAGAAATGCTAAACTGTCAATTCGATAAATATTCTACTTGTTATTAGTTGTTACAAATAATTAATTAAAATGATAAAAGTACAACTTTTTTAACAAAAAAATCAAATTCAAGAGGTTTGTAAATGTTTATCGTTGCTTTTTTTGAAGTAGATTTTTCGTTGAGTGCGAGACCAAGAAATCTGAAACTTGAGACGTTCACCAACGACAAATGCTAGTTAACAAACTTTGCAAAAGTCATTAAACTTAAAATCTAAAAATGAGTTAATCTACAATAAAAAAAAAAAACTAACTTAATTGTTTTAATGAAATGATTTTATATTAAAAACATATACCTATGGCATTTTAATGGGTTAAAATGCAAAATGTCAAGCTTTATGCAATGTATATTTCAGAGGAGCTAGTGTAAACTATCAAAAACAATTGAGTTATCAATCATTAAAACTGATAAGTGGCATGAACTCTGCGCAGTGCACAGTGCTGACTTTATTTGGGATTTAAGTTTAACTATTTATACTCCAGAATCATGAAGTACATGCAAAATATTACACCGAGAAGTATAAATGTTGCATCGTGCTATATTGTAGTTTTTCTTTTATTCA